CATGCCATGCAGTGTTATACGCAGGTAACAATACCTGTCCTTGCTGCTGAACACTTACCCATGTTATACAGCGTTGTACGCAGACAACCATACCTGTCCTTGGCACTGAACAGTTATACAGCGTTATACGCAGACAACCATACCTGTCCTTGGTGCTGAACACAGTTATACAGCGTTATATGCAGGCAACAATACCTGTCCTTGGTGCTGAACACAGTTAACAAGGCAGGTTTATCGTTTAATTTCAAAAACTGTAGTGTATGTCGTATGGAGCTTTTGCACGTCAATGCTCTTTGACTTTTTTCTATCCCCCACCAAAGACGTTATAGCGATATAGATCCCATGTAGTACAGTATGCTACTATTTGGCGTAGGCGTGAAAAAATTACACCACGCAGTGTGTAAAAAAAGACGGATGAATATTCCAAGGCTAATGCGGTCCGCAAGTCTGCCATCTGATGGTAGAGACAGCTGGTACAGAAGTGTATTCAACATTTCTATCCAATTACAACGTACTATCTGAGCTCTCTTTGTCCAAGGCAAGTACTACATTGTATTGATGTAACTTTCGTGGAAAAGAATCATAAATCCACAAGACGTTTCTCTTAAATTGTATGCGCAATAGCTACAAGGAACGCATATGTAGGTCACCTGGTATGGACTCCGGATCCTATTCTACGTGTGTGCAGTCCGAGACCTGCTATTAGAACAGCTATTAGTTACATATCCGAGGACTTCATATGAACCACTATGATATGCTTGTCACTTATAATTATCGTCTCAAATTTGGGACTGATTGCTATGGATGATCACACCTTGCCACAAGGATGCGTGATTTCTGACCCACCAGACGATACAGCAGCTTCACAGTTACATATCATCTGTCACATCGGAATTGCTGACCGTTACCAGGGCAACACTGTGATACCACAGGGACTACCGCCCAACACAACCACTCTGGACTTCGCCTTAAACCACATCAAGAACCTTCGAGAATTTCCCGTGCTGAAAAACCTTATTGTACTGAACCTGGCATGGAATCGTATGGAAACGTTGGACTGGCTTGTACTTCGCAACGTACCGGCTTTGCAAGACCTCTACCTGAATCGCAACAGGCTCGTGGAGGTGAACTTGGGCGCGGTCATCAAGGATCTCCCGAATCTGAAGTATGTGAACTTGGCAAACAACATGTTGGCTTCGTTTTCCTCACACCAGATAGGCTTACCCATGTTGCGTTTGGTCAAGCTTCAGTACAACCCACTTCGCTGTGACTGTACAATGCAGTGGTTAGTCAACAGACTGAGATGCCAGCAAGAAACAGTGACCTCGCGGGTGCTAGCCACCTGTGTGCAGTGTGACACCTGCGTGTTCGGTGCCATGCAAGCTGACGACATGGTGTGCGCCTCTCCGAGTCACCTGGAAGGCCTGCCACTGTCAAACGCCTCACACTATCTAACGGAATGCAGAGTGGTGCCGACAACTGCCAAGACGACCGAACTTCAACCAAGACTGACTCAAGGAGTTACATGTACTGTCAAACTTCCTGGGGATCGTCCAGAAAGTACAACTTCACCTGGAAACGATCTCCAGTCATCCCCTTTGAATTTCGCTCCTGCAGGCAAGCCTGTAACATTTTCTTATAATGCCACAAGATCTGCGACAACTGAACGAATAGACGCTAAAGAACCGCATCTCGGAGTCCGCCATATCGCAGTGATGTTATTAACTCTGATTGTCTTGATATCACTGATAATCAGGAGGTTCAGATCTGGCGGTCCCGTTAGGGTGGAAGAAAGAGCTGGTGCTGATAATATCAGTCTTCAGCAGATGTAATTATTTTCCGGAAAGACTCTGTTTTTCGGAAGTGTGTTTGTGGCTTACATATAGTTTGTGAATACATTGTAGGTGATTTGAAAGCAATAAAACAAGAAGCTATGAAAGGCATTTCCATATTTGGTATGTGGTTAGATGTTGACCTACATTAACATGTGTAATAAACAGCAAATTAAGAAAGAAATGAATCGATAAAAGTAAAAGTAATGATAGAATGTCTAGCTTTATTGGAGCTGTGTTTTGATATAATCTAAACTCATGTATATCAATGCACCATGTATATGTATCAGTATTATCTTTTAAATTCTATAGCCCAAAGTGTGATAGAAATGTTACAATATCAAATGTAGTTTTTATGAGCTATAGACATTTGGCAAAGTAACAAAAGTATTATATTCTGTCAAACTTCTCTGGATTTTTCTCACATCCAACTTAAGAAGAAATTTCTTGTACAATAAAGTTCTGAAGAATATTGACGTTGCACGTGGGTCTAATGATTAATGTGATATAGCCCTAGACACTAGATTAGTAAATGTCTTTATTTATATCTCTTGTACAAGGTCTCTACAAAGTAGTGAAAAAAGGTGCAGAAATTAGAACCAAGTACAGTAGACCTGAGTACTTAAGTCACCACATGGTGTTAAAGAAAGCTTCTTGCTTATCTGGAACTAGACTTTCTTCTCTTCTTGTTTGAATAGTCTGCAGTTTTAACAGGACATGTTTTGTTTTTCTGTCCCTGTTTGGCAGAGGGTTTGCCCTTTGCGGGTCCCTTAGTTTTGTTTGCGTCTGATTTCCGCATGGCGGCTAGGACGGCGTCCCAGTCTTCTTCTGAGCTGTCTTCTTGGCTGGAGCTTTTCTTTCCCGTGGATTGTCCAACACTTTTAGTATCGCTACTTTGCTCAGTTGTATCTTCAGTTCCTGGCTCCAACTTCACATCTACAATCATGACTGGTGCGTCTGTGTCTGGCGACAAATCAGACTCAGAGAGACTCTCCTCTGATGAAGAATCGGATGCCGCTAACTCTTGGACTTGTTTTGTTGGCTCAGTTCTGGTGATGCCTTTGTCTGTGTTGATTTGCTCAGCCGATACGTCAGGCTTCTGTTCGGTAGGGTCCGAAGAGAAAGCCACGCCTCCGTTGCTGGTGTCCTCCATGTTTATGTCTTCATCAGTTTGCAAAGACTGATCCGGCTCGGTAGATCTACAGGGGAAAAAAAAAGTGCATTATGAAAATTATGTTGGGTTTATTAAATACTGAAAATGCAGAAACTTTTGCTTTGGTTGCAAATTCACAACATTGCAGATTCATCTGCAAGATTACAACATTGTGAAAATCTCCCTTTCCCACTTACAGTGAAATACATAGGGACTGTGAAATGCATTTACAGTAGAATATATGCAGTCGAACCTGTACTAGCAGTCACCTCTGTATAGTGGTCACTTGGCCATAGCGGTCAGTTTTTGCTGGTCCCTTGAATTTTTCCCATTGACGTAAGCATTAAGAATTGTGTCTATAGCGGTCGCCTGTTCAACGCGGTCAGCGGTCAACCCATTCCGGTCCTGCCGGCTATCAACACGGGCGATAGCGGTCTCGGCTGGCCGTAACCCGCTAAGCACCACGGCCGTAACACCACCCCACCTCGGGCTACGGCCGTTATAATGAGCCTTGCGATAATTTTCCGGTCGCTACATTATTAAAATGTAAACTGTGTATGTGTATCAACTAGTAAGTTTCTGCATGTAGCATATCTCTGGGTGTTGTAATGACATTACATCAACATGCTTCCGTATAAATTTTGTTTGTGACTGTAGTGGCGTCAGGTGACGTAGTGGTAGATCATTCGACTGTGAACTGGGAAAGCCGGGTTCGATCCCGAGTCGTACCCGGTACATGTCTGAACATGCGCCCGACGTTGTATCCTTGGGAAAGGCACTTTACACGACTTTCCTCACTCTACCCAGGTGTGAATGGGTACCTAACTTCGGTTAGGGAAAGCCGTATTGAGGTCACCTTGTGGCGCCCAATGACAGCTGCACAGACCCTTGCGGCAGTTCCACAAAAATGTAAAACAAATATTTACCAGGTGTATCATTATGTGTATTATTACCATTTGTATCATCTGATTGTAAACCCTGCATCAATTCAGCACTATAAGGCTGTGATTGCCCGTTTGATGTTTGGTCAATAAACCATTATTAAATTAGCATGAAAGTTCATCTGTGTTGGTACAAATCATTATGAAATAAAACTTTAACTTCCAACACTAGATATAGGCATGTATGACCCGCTACTATGGTCACGTGGCTCTGACGTCACGTTCCAAGAGTAGACGGGTCCATTCCGTGAACAAGGATGATGGAGTCAACCGAAAATTTGGGGTAAGTCCCAATTCTATATCTAGTGTTGGAAGTTAAAGTTTAGTCTTTATTTCACATTATTAAATCAGTTCTAACCCCTGCTCTGTGGCCATCCTCATCTGCTGCCAGGTGTACTCCACAAACATGGACTGCTGCAAGAGCCGGTTCAGACGCTGGAAGTGACGCTCTGAAACATGACATCAGAAATTTCAGACTTACAGGAAGTACATGTATTGATGTGTTTCCCACCAACCTACAGTCTACAGGCTTTTAAATCAAATGTCCCCCGCCATCTCTTGACATAGCCATGTTTCTCTCATCTTTCTAGTTCAATGCCGAGAAGTTGTCGTACTATAGGCAAAAAAAATATATAAAAATTGTATCTAAACCACAGCTTCCTGAACCCACCCCACATCGAACTTTGATTCCTAAGACCTTTGACTTCCTGTTGTTCTGCCTGTCAATCTTCCCTAACCATGTGCTGTCAACTTCTGTTCAGACAGAGACACGAACTCACAGTTCAGCCACGCAAAACAATACTTCTGGGAGAAACTAGTCCAGACATGGAGCAGTTTACTTAGCCAGGTTACTAAAAATATCATAACTCATGAGTCCTACATCCTCTCCTACTTGCAGAGAGGATGTAGGACTCGGGACCTGTAATATATGTAGGTTTGGTAACCAGGCTACAGTTTATTCACTGAGGGAGGCTATGCTTGTGCATGTACACATGTATGTGGGGTGAAATTGTACCCTGCTATTGGTGCAGTAGGGCACATTGGATATCCACAAGGTGTTTTCTATGTGCCCTCAGCATGTCATACAGAGATATGGTGCACTGTATGGTCAAGAAAAGCAGAGGGCAAAATATTCTGTGCTTGTGTTTGAACTTTGAGTATAAAAAAATTCAAACATAAAAAATATTCTAATCCATGAAAAAACAGTCCTTGTTTAAATCATTACCATCTTGGCACTGTAGATTGACTTGCATTTCTTTTCTGCAGACTTATATGTGTATGTGCATGTGCATATTGTGTATGTGTATGTGTATGTGTATGTGTATTGTGTATGTGTATGTGTATGTGTGTGTATGTGTATGTGTATGTGTATGTGTGTGTGTGTGTATGTGTATGTGTATGTGTATGTGTATGTGGGAATTATACTGAGTTGGTACACAATATATAATAAATTAAATTCAAAAGTTATGGTTGACTTAGAGGGATTCAAGGACTCAGATTTGGCTGAAATCATTGATGTAATTAGATATTAATTATACTGTAAAACAGTTGCAAGTTGATAGCAACAGTGGTGAGAAAAACGTCCAGGCCTACATTTGTACAGTACATGTACATTCCCTACCTGTATAAGGCACTAAGCCCTCGATGGCAGTCTTGATGCTGGGAAACTGGGCCAATTGGTCTGGGGGGAAATGTTTCAGGATGATTGATAGAACAGCCTGTGCCTGGTGGCAGTTACGGGAGTTGGTGTTCCACTGGACCACGAACTTTAACACAGCATCTGTAAGCAAACATGAGACATACGTTTTATTCAGGTTAGTGCATGTAAAACTGGAGCACTGGGTTTACATTATACATGTACATTGTAGGTGTATGTGGATATTGTGTATACCAAGGTATACATGTACATGTAGACTTTCCCTTCTAACTTTCCTTTTGAAGTTAACTTAAGCATATTTTTTTCTACATACATTTTTTATCTACTAATTACTTACCAATCTGGTCCTCTCGAAGTTTTTTCAAAGTCTTCTCCAACTGGGACTTGCCTTCAGGTTTTTTCAAGATATCTGTAACAAAGAGTGTTGTTGCATTATTTAAGAGACCTGATGGACTTATTTTCTGTTTAAAGCCCATCACACATTCAGAAACTTCCCGACAAGCCAACCTTGCTGCCATCCTACTCCTAACCATGTTGGGGGGAGTTTGCCAGTGTTTGGGAAGCCATATTTGGCTATGTTTGACGGGCTTAATTAACCCTTGTCCTGCTGGAATTCCTGGCACAATATTTTCAAATAATTTGATGTCTTAATCAGGTCACAGACCCTTAACTTTGTTTGCCCCGCAGTACTAGTGGCGTAATTACTTCCGCATTCATTGCGTTTTGCTGCGGTGTGATGTGTTGCACGAGAAATACTCCCAAATTATACATATACAGGGCACTATACAATGTATACATGGTACTGTATTTGCAACCCATACATATACATATGGGTCCTGCAGGACAAGGGTTAAGAGAGAACCTACCTGTTACTATGGTGAGTACCCTGTATGGCTGTTCCAGTGTGATGGCCAGGCCGATCGCCTTCAGGAACCTTCCCTCATGGATCAGGTTGGAAAGTTCCTGCTCTCTGCAAAATAGAGGAATCCCAGATTTTAGACTTTTTTGTTGTTGTTGTTCTCATGGATTTATTGAAACCCACAGATAGAGAAACCCACTCTAAGAGCAATACTTTCGTACCTGGAAGTAACAATTGTGGATTCTGCATATTCTATATATTAACACTCAAGAATGCACTAAAACACAAAGATTTTATGACTGGTAGAATTTAAAAGTTTTTTTGTATAATATATTTTTAGTATTAATGATTTCCAGCTCTAGCACTATCAGTTACTACTATTCTTTTGGGTCTAGGACAAACAGCAGTTACTGTTTACTAGTCATAAGGCAGACTCATTTGCGCCCTTATTTCTAAGATCTACATGTAGTGATGTTGACATGACATACTTAAGGATGAGCTCCTCTGTTTTTGCCTTTTCTTCTTGCTCTTCCTCTTCTGTGACATCCTAGAACAACAATAACAAAAACATCCTCAAATAATACATAATACGTGTACACCACGTAATGTGCATGCTGGCAAATTTTCAGTCAGTTAAACAAACAAATACAGACTGTTCAGGATGAAAAAGGTCTTCACAGATGTCTGTATAATTTATGTATGTGGGGTGAAATTGTGCCCTGCTATTGCTTTGGTGCAGTAGGGCACATTGGATATCCACAAGGTGTTTTCTATGTGCCCTCAGCATGTCATACAGAGATATGGTGCTCTGTATGATCAAGAAAAGCAGAGGGCAAAGCTTAATAAGAACCTGTATCTAGTTGAGCTGACTTGAATTTATCCTATTCTAGCTCTGGTTTGTATCCAAGCAGAATACAATGTAGTTTGGCTTCCGCTCCTATTTAAAACTTTTGGTCCTTATGTTGTGTTCTGCATTGTTTTGGGAATCAAATATTTATCAGAAGCAGTATAACAGGGAGTCAAACTTTCGAATGCCTAACATACGAGTCCCTTTTCTATGCCATTACGAGGACTGTGTCACTCAGAGCATGCAGCTCCGGATTTAAATTACTTCCACCCTCCATAAAACCATTGCTACTTAGACACAAAACACACAAACTGACAATTCAGCCTCCCATAAAAACTTCCATCCCTGGAATAAAATAGAATTAAAAAAAAAAAACACCTCACCTTCCACATGATGATGTTGGAGTCTGCGGCCCCGGAGACCACGCTTGTCTCGGTGCTGTTAGCAACAAGCGCCCAGATCTTGTCCTCGTGTTGGTCAAACGTCTGGACACACTCGTTGTTCTTGATGGTCCAAAGTTTTATCAGTCCGTCCGACCCACTTAACAATAAAGAGGACAGGAAATGTTTTTATTTTAAGATTCAAGGTCACTTTATTGAACATTGCAGTGGGACCACTGAATTACGACCAATTTACAAACAAAGTTTAAAAACAATTCTGCATCTGTATCTGTGAGTAGCCGGTATAACTGCCCTTCGGGCCTTCGGCGTATAACACATCTGATTCAGTAATTCACTACAAACAAATGGTATTTAACATTAATAAGATGCATTGGCTATCTAAAACTTTGACATTTGACATATAGAAACCAACAGCAGCTAATAACGTCAATTACATTCCTTTGGCTAAAAAGAGGAAGGTTGAAAAAATTGATATATGTTTGTAAATAGAAGAATAGACAGACTGACCTTGAGAGCAGCTGTGCGCCTCTACTGAGGAAAATCACCTTCATGACGGAACAGTCATGACCTTCAAAGGTCTACAAAACAACACAGTATGGTCAACACAACGGTCATGTGGAACAATTTTAATCTCAAAGCAGATGTTGGGGGTTGAAAATTGTCATGTTTCTGACCTCCATAATGATTGTATTTTCTGACAGCACTCCATTCAATTTGCTTAAATTGTGGAAAAATAAAAAGCACATCAGAAATGTTATGATTTCTGTTTGGAGATGAGACAACTTTTTCAGACTGACCTTCAAGCAGGTGAAGTCAGCCAGCGACCAGATCTTAATGGTTCCATCAGCAGAACTGCTGGCAACCACCTGTAATGAAAAAAGTGAGTAAGTCAATGGGAATATTGTTTTTGCTCTGTTTCCTTTTCTCCAAGCACATACAGTAAGATCTTAATGGTCCCATCAGCCGAACTACTGGCCACCACCTGTAATAAAAAACAAGAATAGTAGATTTCACCCTATTACCCATACATACACTGCTTTGCTATATGTTTTTAGAGGGGGCAGACTAAAAGGTCTGACAAGATTGGTAAAAATCCCAATCTCTCTCAAAGGTCACAAACCTTTACATACATAATACATGTACAAATGCATACTCCACACATCAAATCTAAATACCTTGTTATCTACATGTATGTTACTGATGTGCAAAAGAGATCTCTGAATAGCCTCTGAAGTTGCCTTACCTGGTCCATAGGAGAGAAGTCCACACACCAGATGCCTCTCTTGTGTCCTCGCAGAGTCCCGAGTACGTGTAGGTCCTGGGCTCTCCACAGCTATATAACAATTGACAATAACAATAACAGAAGAAACATGAATAAATGAATGAACTTTATTGCTGACCAGTAGTACATTGTGGTGACAATGTGATCAATACAGTATTCTGAGAAACTATTGCTACAAGAATATGAACTTAAACAACATATGTCATGATGTACGTTAAGCAGTTCTATCTGTTACAATACTTTCTCTCTTTTGTAACACACATGATCATTTTCTGATGTGCAATGCCACCTGGCAGTTGTCATTCAAACTGCATCCACATCCTTACATGTATGACTATGGATGAGAATGTGTAAGGCACACAAAATGTAGACAGCTGTGATAGCCTGAAGAATCTGTATAATGGACAGAAAAAAAAAATCTAACCTTGATTGTGCGATCCTGCGACCCTGTAGCCAACAGCTTGTCATTGGGTGACACGGCTATTGAGTTGATATCCTGCATACAAGTAATACACATGTATATAATATATATATCACAATTAGTTGACCTCCATGTTAATTAACTAGCAAGATCACCTCCTCCATGTACCTACCATGTAATCGTCGCTACTTGGAAATGATACACCCAAACAAGTCAACCACCCAAAAACAATACTTCCATACCTGAAAGTAAAAGACAACAATCATTCTTAAAAACCAGCACATCGGCACATCTTACTGTGCTTTGTCAGAATGTCTCATTTAAGGTTGTATTTGCATATTCAAAGATGACATCCTGTCTTTAGTTTTGAAGTGTTGTGTCGGAGAAGATATAGTCTACAACAGGCAAAATTCTGCTGCAACATTGACCAAACATACAAAAAAAAAACATGTAAAATCTGGGCTGTAGGCAGGTGCAGTATTTCTGCTGATGTGCCTTAAAAACCACACCTTTTCGTGTGCCCTCTCTGTAGCAGTAGCCTGTAGTTGAATGGGAGTGTGTTCCACTGCTGAAAGTTCTGCCTGAGGGGGGACGGCCCACAGCTTCAGTGTGGTGTCCACACTTACACTCGCCACAAACACAGGCTTCAGTCTGTCAACAAACAAATAAACAAACAAAATATTACTATGTTTTGTCCATAGTAAAATGGCACACAATGTATAGAATTCAACTTTAAATTATCAAAAATTCCTGTTATGTCTTTCATGACTTACATACAATCATATCATGTGATTTTCTATATGAAGCATTTATGCTATTTGTTTTGGCATCATTTTAAGTACATTATGAGTATGCATTATAATCAGTTTTGGATACTACAAAAAATATTTCTTTCAGGAATCTACATTAAATGAACCTGGTTTTCAATAGAGATGTATTCAATACTTGCCTTTTAATACTTGTTATCTTATCTTTCGATACAACAATCTTGTTCCAACAACAATTTTGTGCAAATATCCACTCATCTGCATTAAATTCGATAGAAGTAATTCTGGTGTTGGAACTTACAGTTGAACCTTGATTCAGTAGATAATTTCTTTTTACCTTGCACATGCCACTGCACTGACTGCATGGGTGTGGCCTGTTCCCATGCCAACACAATGGACCTTCCCAGAAGTTGCATCAAACCTCCACAGCCTGATTGTGTTATCCTGCAGCAGGTAAAAACAGAGTTTAACCTACAGACACAATTCTTAATGCTTGTGTTAATGTGGAAAATTTTCTAAGGGACTAAATAGTGGTCACATTGGCCAGGTGGTCCTTATGTAGAGGATTAATTGTAATACTATATAATATACAATACTCAATGTAACTTTTGTGATATTTTTTAGAAAGCACAGACTTACCTTAGAACTACTGGCAAACATCTGGCCTTTCTTGAACACACTCAGACTCAATACAATATCTGGGAAGAAACATACATGCAAAATGTATTGTGGGTCCAGTTAAAAGAAAAAAAAGTCAAACAATAAAGATAACATTTACCTTCATAATCATATACTAACAAACTACTGCTCTGTTTTTTCTTTAACTCAAACACATTCATGTACAATGTATATGGTGAACAGCCCCTCCAACTCTCACCAATTGCTACATAATGTAACCCAACACCACAGTCTGTCTGCTACAGCATCGTTACCATGGTGATAGACCTCTAAGTCAAGGTCATTGACCTTACTTTATGTGCTTGGAGAAGAAGAAACAGAGCAAAAACAATATTCCCACTCTCTGACTCACTCACTCACTCACTCACTCTGACTCACTCACTCACTCACTCACACTCACTCACTCACTCACTCACTCACTCACTCACTCACTCACTCACTCACTCACTCACATTCACTCACTCACTGAGCTCTGCATGCCCTTCCTGGGGGTGTAGCGCCTCTGCATAAGGTCCTCCAATATTCCATCTATAACATAAAGACTAGACTTTGACAGATCTTACCAGTGTGCCCGTACAGTATCTGACAGTCCATCGTCGCCAGGTTAAACACTCGGACCTGCTCGCTGTTCGTCGCCACAGCGATGTGCGAGTCATCCTCTCCCAGAAACTTGATGTCCAACACTTCATCATTGTACCCAACAAACTGTAGACCGTCAAAATAAAACATACTTTATTGTTTAGTCTTTCATCTGTATTTCAATAGGGTTCAAAACATTCCTTTTGTCTGGAATTACCTGCACCAGACAAATTTTACATGCACCACTAGTACTCAGCATTTAGGAAGTATATGTTGTGATCTAGTCACAGGCTATTTCAAATGTGTTGACAGCCACTCCACGGAGTAGGGCGAGTCCAATGGTGTTAGTTCTTAGTCCTTTTGTTGACGTTGATCAAATGTATTAGATTTATGAATGTACATGTAGATGGCCCAAATCGCGATTTGGAACAGATCAAAATCCAATTTGAGCCATTAAAATTCACAAAATTTGACCGGTTTAAACTGGATTATGTGAACCTGTTCGATCCGGTACAAACCTGTTTTGTCAGACTGAAGTCCTGTAGTTTGTAGAACAGGATGTTATGATCGTATGTGACCGTAGCGATGGTGTCTGTCTGTGTGTTCATCAGCGTCTGAGTCAGGAGGTACGACTGGTCCGGTTTGGACTGGTTCTCACCGGTCTCTGCGGAGGGTCTTTTGTGGGAGAACACGCACCTGGATTTCTGTGAACTCCATACTTTCAAAACCCCTGGAATGGTACAGATTCAATCAATCAATCAATCAATCAATCAATTAATTAATCAATCAATTAATTGAAATCAATCAATCAGTCAGTCATACAAGACATATATTTCAAACAGTACTGCGGACATTTTTTGTCATTTACTCCAAGCAAAACGATAGCCTGTCCATATATTATATATAATAAAAGCTTTCAAATCTTTCGCTGTCGTATCACAATATAGAATCCTACAACTTATTTACTTACTAGATCCACACCTTGAATGTGTTACAACAAAATGTACAACATAAATGCAACAGCCCTGGTATAACAGCCTCAAGTCTGTCCTTCTGGGGGTGTTTGTTTCTAGGTTATTTACCAGCAAATTACGTCACGCCCCACTCACCTTTGCTTCCTGCTGTTACAAAATGGAGGCCATCTTCTTTCTTTACACACAGTTCGGGGAAGTCCTGGTGTTCAGGTAGGAGCACAAGAGACTCCAAACTCTGAAAAAAAAAATGTTGAAGAAGTGGAATCTTTTACTATTTGATATTTATGTCATACCAAAGCTCCAATTTCTCCTGTGCTGATCTGCATATGCAGGTGGCTTTTCCAGCCTAGATATACATGTATTTCTATTATGCCAGTTAGTATAGATGGACTGGTGCTGGTTAGTTGCAGGTAGACATAAAAAATCCATCAATGAAGGTTAGACATCCAGGTAATACGATACGCCAAAAAACAGTTACTCAAGCAACTGGATATGATTTTGAAAACGTCAGACGTTTCAGCTAGTATCCACTAGCTTTCGTCAGTGACTGAGAGACCAGAGGGGAAAGCAGGTTTATAAGCACAACCTATTGATTGATATGCAAATAAAGTGAAGACAAATTTTTTGGAAGTCGAAAAAAGAAAGTCAGACAAGTCAAGACAAGATGATGCAAATTAGTCTGAAAGCTCCTGTTATACAGAACAGGAGCTTAAGTGATGTCTGTCCTCGGGGCTGGGAGACATCAAAAATACCTGCAGAGCCCTAATTTTACCAGCACTAACTTACATCATTTTGCAGGTGGTACTTTTAACTGTGTGTTAGCAGTGGAACATAATCTATTATTATTATTACAGAACACTGGGGAAAAGGGTCACGTAAGAACATTCCTGTACCTCAAACACTGGAATGGTTTTGAGTACTTGAAACTTGGTGACGTCCCACATGGTGACGATGTTGTCCCTGCCTGCAGCCAGCAGTGTTTTCCCATCTTGTGTGAACTGTAGGGATGTCACTGTGCTGTAGTGTTTGTCCAACAAAGCTATGCACCTGGTAAAACATAGGAAAGGGAACTTGTATCTATATGTGTGTGTGTACAACCGGTACAACTGCCCTTCAGCATCACATATCAACTTAAAGTTAGATATGATTGTATTACATGTACATGTCAGTACCTGTGTGAACTCATGTTTTGGTGTGGGTGCATTTGTCTACTTGTTTGCTTCTGAGTCATGTCAGTAGTTGTCATAGGCAGTGAGGGGCGAAAAATTTACCCAGAGACAGACAGGAAGGTTTATTTGGAGTTCAAAATGGTCTGTGGGAAAAATGACAATGGAATGTGCACAGAATTGATCAGATGGTCAGAATGTCACAATTATGAATGAAACAAGAAGTTCAAAACAAATCTAAATACATTGTGGAGATGTAAACATTCAATTTCTTGTTAGCATTTTGTTTCTGACCAAGGGAACTACTGAGCCAATCACAATGATAATAAAAAGCCTGAGAATCTCCCATTTCTTACATTATTAAGTCTACATTAGAGCTGAAATTATGTAGTACATGTAAGATAGCCTAAACCTAAAGCCACTCACTTGCTGGTGTTCAGGTCCCACACATGGATCTTGTAGTCACTGGCTGCTCCATACACTTGGGCCTTGGTGATGTCTGGATGGAAGGCTACCACACTACCATAGAAAGAACAAAATCATTTTAAACTTTCCAAAGAAAAAAAATTCCATTGAAAATAGTCACTGAATTTACTTCTTTAGAACCCAATAAAATTTTTTTGTGCTAAGTACATGTATAAAGATGTCAAATTGTTAATAATTTTGTTGCATTTTATTACCATTGGTTGTTTGTAAATAAAGTAAAAGTATACAAATATTTGAAGGGATGGCAGCCCCCTCTCATTGGTCAAACCGATGATTGCCAAGCTATCATTGGTTGAACTGATAATTGTGATGGACAGGATTGGTCTATTTTGACCATTTAACATCCGTGACTGCAACATCATCATCATCATCGTTCATCCTCCGAAGAGGTGGAGCAGACAAAGTTTGATCTCCAGAACTGCTTGTCGTTCATTGCTGAAATAAGTTCCAGGCCCTTCAAGCCTGTTTCAATTTCTATAATTTTGGACGTCCAATTCTTCTCTTCGTATCAGGGTTCCAAAAGTAGAAGCTTTGACTGGCTAGTTATTCACTACGTACAACATGACCGGCCAAGCTTAGTCGTCGACATTTAACTACTGACATTTAACTAGTGACATTTGGTAACGATCCGTATAACTGTTTGTTTAGTAGTATGTTTCCACCATGGTGTATTGAAAACTACTGCAACAGGAAGGTGTCAAAAACTGGTCCCACGACAAATTTCTGCCAGGCCTTCAAGTTTACCTGAGCACCCCCTGACACCCCTTCAGGTTGTGGGTACAGTACTGCTGGATCACGTGCCACACTTTGATGGTGCTGTCTGTTCCACCTGCAAGGTCAAAGGTCGAGGTCAGTACAGCTCATTCTATTGCATTGCTTGGAATAACTTGAATTTCTTTCAATTTTGCTACAGAAAAAATATGTACCACACTCCATACAATAGTGACTATATACTTTTGTATATGAAATGCCTAAAACAAACTCACAAGTCACCCACCCAAAAAATACTTCCACACTGAGAAGTACCTAATATGTATAACTGTAACAGATACAGACTCGTATATTAAATAGGGAAATACATTAAAGAATGTTTAAATCTTGGAAACTACATGTTACAGAATAGTTAAACCTTCATTGTTGCCGCTGACATATATTTTGTATGCACGATGACGTTATTCATACATGTACAATGTATTTCACTTTGTTAGATCTTTAGTTGTAGATGACCATACAAAAATCCCTGTACTTTTTGTTGAGTCAATAAAGAATCTCACTTTAACCATGTTTGGGCTGACGACAATGTACCCACCTGTGGCAAGCAGGGTGGAGGTGGTGTCAAAGGTCATGTAGGAGATGGGGCTGATGTGGATGGCCCTCCATGTGCGGGTACAACTGGGCGGGGAGTCTGTCCAGTCCCACTGACGCAGCAGCAGGCTACGGTGGGCTGTCACCAAATGCTGTAAGGGAGAAGGGGGCACAGAGGACAGGAACATGTATTTTCACCATTGCCTGTATCTGTATATACCTGTATCTGGGGTTTGTCATGCTACATAATGTATTCTCGCATTTCCTGAGTAAACCAAGTAGTGGATTGTATACATGTAGATATTGCAAAGTATATTAATTGTTTTTGTCTTGCTGTCTGTCTGTCTGTGTATAACAATGTAACTGTGTAGCTTTCATACCATTTAGTACTGTCAACTTTCAGCTATAGAAATGATGGTGTAATTCAAGCATTTATGGGCTTGTGAGTTCTTTCCTGTATAAACTATTTAGCTATTAAATATGATCCAAAGTTACATGTAAGTAGGCTTTTCTACCTTGTCATCTGGGCTCAAGGCAAAACAGGACAAGTCATCATCATCCTGAAAGGGAAAACATGGAAAAGTTAATTCTGTCTATTCTTGCCACCTGTTATTACAAGAAGACAAAGGCACTTGTACAGCATACATGGAGTTGCATTGTACATGTATATATAGGTATAGGCCTCAGAAAGAAAATTTTGTTTCCAAAAAAAAAACAAAAAAAACCCCACTAACCCAACCCTTCTTTTGGTTGAACCAGTGGCAAGACCATGAACTTTCAATCTGATGAATTCTAAACCGTCTGAATCAAACATATTAATCTATATTTTTTCTCAATTCCCCACATGGAAAAATGGAGGGACTGGTACTGGGGACAGTTCTGGTAGTGTTGAATTTCACATTGTTAAACTGTATTTGTTGGATCACTTCAGCAAGAAATTTTTAGAAAATCACTACCTAAACTTAAGACTGTTATCTTGTTATGACTGAAACTGGAAATAAAACATTAGTTTCTGTAGTCCAAAGACATGAAAAGAAAGTAAGATGTCGGACCTGTTGCACAGATGTCTGCACCTTGCCTGTCTGAACATCCAGCACCTGCACCTTGGAGCCACAGGTGCAGAACAGGTGCCGGCCATCTGCAGACAGCTGAAAAATTTGCATACCATTATTAGCATCATAAAATTCTATTAGCATGATCAAAATTAATCTGTGTTGGGTGTTAACTTCAATCCAACATAACTTTGCACCTGCCTACCAATAAATTACTGATGTAATAAAACTTGATTGCTCCTTTCACAGAATTCTTTTTGCACCAGCATTAGCCGTATTACCCATTTATATAAAATATAGTAAAACAGACCAGGTTTTGGTTACGCACATCTGTAAAAATACATTTAATATATCAACCTAGAGTTAGTTATCGTCATATTTTCCAAATTTTGACATGTGGCAAATATATAGATTTACATGTCGTGGATGGAGGGATGAAAGCCCGTTTTAATACTTACCTGTACTTTTCCTCCAGTGAAGAAAGGTTCAATCTTCCCTTGGACTGCGAAGCTGTCAAGAAAGAAAATAAACTTTCATAAAGACAAATATGACGCCTGGTTTGAAGGAACAAAAGTACTTAAAAACTTTACTAGCACGTGTTCAGAAAACGTGTATGCACGTGCGTGCGTATATTCAACTAAAACAGCCCACCGTAGAGAACGTTCAATGCCATTACAGAGTCCACAAACACTTCTACAATAAGATAAAACTATGTTGAAAGCTTAACAGTCAACAATACCGTATCAACTATTCAAAAGCCGACTAAAAACAGAAAAGGACTGGCTTACTTCTTTTTCTGAACTTGTGCGGCGGCCATGTTTGTGTTGACCTCTGACCGGAATAATCAATGCTGCCACCTTGCGACATTGATGTGTCAATGCAAGTAAACGAACTACAGAGGGGGGCTGCGAGGTAGTGGAAAATATTGGATTATAAATTTAGCCTTCTGAATTTTTTCAGCGACAACGCACACTCAAATATTTACCAACACATAAATCCATAAGGTAGCTCATTAAAACACAACCGCGTCGGGAAGATTAGGCCACAGCATGTAAAGTTTATGGATGACATCCTCCGCAGACTCCACTAATGTGAGCGGGCGAAAAAAAAGACTCAATAATTGTACAAATGGTCTTAATTCAGTGAGAACATCACGGTGAAAGAATGTGTTAGTTTACGTCTGCGAGCATCGAAGGTAAAAGATTACTTGCTGTGGCCTTTCTGAGAACGGCTGCTAGTCCATCAGCCCTCTGACAGACACTCTTTGTTTTTGAATTCCGCGCATGACTGTGACATACAAACGACAGATTAGACTCACTTGGCTGTACACTGAACACCAAATGAACGGTTATCACCTGAGGGCAAGTAAGACCATACAGAGCGAGCTCACATGTAAACTTAGATGCACCTAGTTCAACCATGACTGCACAACAATGAAGACGAGTGTATTAAGACAAACTCCTGACGTTCAGAACTTTTCAGACTGAAGAGACAAGATCTGCCAGCCAGCGATACTTCAGTGAGTCTTTTTGTTGTTTCTCAACATCATACTTGAGGTGTCGTTTGTTGATTGAACCAGTTAAAAGATCGCACGCAACGTTGAGTCAAAACAAAAGGGCAGCTAAGGACAATATCCGAAGACACTTGTAGTTTAAGTTAAGTTAAGAAAGCTGTATTTGCATAATTGGTATCAGTATATTTTCCACCTGTCATAAATTAGATAATGTTTCATGTATACTGGAATTCGGGGTGCGAAGTCTATGTTCGTCCAGTCACTTCGGGGTGGGGTGGGGGTGGGGGTTATTGCCTTTATCCAAATAAACAACAACAACAAAATTACAAGAACTATACAGTTTACACATTTATAGGATTTTCAATGTCTTTATTCTTAAAAATGATGGTTTTCTTAACGGAAAAACAACAACATTGGCAACTCACGCACAGGTGTTAAACCAAGTGTATTTTGTACCCTGACGTGAAACATAAGACAAAGTATGGCCTCGAGCGTTTAACTTAACGCCGTCCGATTTGCTGTGTCACTGCGAAGGGCACGGACCTGTTAAAAGTGTAAACAGCGGATACTTCATCTTCATCTTTGCTGGGGCTCTGAGATGTTATATGAGCCCCGGCTACACCCCCATGTAGCCCCTGTTGGGGCACTTTAGGGGGGGGGGGCTTGGTCTAAGGCGCGGGCAGGCCTCCAGCCTGGCCCGGAAGGACTCAACGGTGTGAGCCATGATAAGCGGGCCAGGCAAGGCGTTCCGGCCATTGTGGGATGGTGCGGGGGAAAAGAGAATATTTATAGACGTCTGTACGTGTATGGGTTGGTATTTATACTGATGGCTCCCTCGGGTACGCCCTTGAGCTGGCCTGAGCAGGTTATCGGTAGGGATATTAATAACTTTGTGAGCTATTTTGTAAAATGTTATGAGGCGGGCTTTCCTCCTCCTTTCGGAGAGGAGGGGCCACTGCAGGTCGTTGAGCATTTGTGTCACGCTACCAGTCCGCTGGTAGGGTCACTCGGGCGGCCCTGCGCTGGACGGCCTCCACCGCCTGTATCCCTTTGGTGGTGTACGGGTCCCAGACGGTGGCACTATTCAAGTGGGGCCGAACCAGCTCTTTGTAACAGGTGGCCTTGACCCGTGATGGACAGTGGGTCAAATTTCGCCGAATGACCCCTAGGACTTTACCAGCTTTGCTAGTGGCGTGGTTGATATGGGATACGATAGTATGCTATGGGATAGACTTGATTCAATTTACTATATTAAAAGAATGACTTTGAAAATGTAGTTTCGCTGCCCTGAAATTGAACTACAGTATACTAGTATGTGATGCAGTTGTGATGGCATGGAAATACTTGGCTGCTGTCACTCCCACTCCATACCCCCCTTCTCGAGATTAGGATCAGCGGTTCTACCAACCGCTTTAAGATGTCTATCAACTAACTTTTCAGGACAGCAACAACAGACGTTACAACCGTAACAAGGTAAGACAAAATAACAAGAAAACTTCATGCAGAACGGAGACTGAGACAGACTAAGTTTGGCATATAGATCCACGATCTTATACTTTATCCTTACACCTTCGACCTTTTAGCATTAGCTAAATTGAACAGGTCTTTTCAAAATTAATTGCAAAGGATCATGTTTATAGTAGAGCCCTCTTACATTGAAAGATCAAACAAATGCACGTTATTTCTGGGTGCATGACTCCGGCATTAACAAGTGATTAGCTTCACTTGGCTGGTACACTGACAATAACACAGGTGTTTTACCTGTGGGCAAGTACTACCAGTAGTAAGACAATAGACAGTGCGAGCTCACATTTCGAACTAGCTAGACTCACCTAGGATTTCACCTAGTCCAACCACTATTGCACAGCTGTGAAGCACAGTGTTAGATGACCTCCCAAATTTTTGCAGGGATTTTCAGACTGAGGAAACAACATCTGCCAGCCATCCATACTTGTGTAAGTCTTTCCTACGTTTCTCAACAATCCTACAAAATAGCCGATTATAATTGTACGAGTGAAAAGATTGTTAAAACAGTCCACAATCTACAAGTTTGGTTCACTGTACATGTGTGTCGCATCCAAATGGCGACGAGTCCAACTTTTATCATGTAAATTTGTCTATACAGTATCACTGTTTGCATCAACGGTCACGTACTCGAGGTCATGAAAACCGCAAAGTGCCTTGGCGTTACGTTCCAGTCAGACCTGAGATGGGACACTCACGTTGCATAGGTAACAAAGAAAGGGAGCCAAAGACTTCACCTGTTATGCCGTCTCCGACAATTTAACGTGCCTGCAGATGACCTTGTAACAGTGTACACTTGCTTTATTCGCCCTGTATTAGAATATGGGGCTCCTGTATGGCACCCAGGTCTCACGACAACGCAGAAACGCGCAACCAAAATCATTCTTGGCCACAACCTACCCTACGACCAGTCATGCAAAACCCTGAACTTACAAACTCTGCATGACAGACGGGAAACCCTGTGCCACTAGTTCGGCAAGACCCTGTCCAAGTCTGACACTTACAACCAATGGTTACCTCAACAAAGGGGCAAAGTCAGCGGGAGGGTTACCAGACAAAGTCACAAATTTGACCCATTGCCAGCACGTACTAAACGCTACCAAAACAGCCCTCTACCGTATATTGTTAACCTGTTAAACGATGGCATTTAGTTTAGATAATTGTGGCATTTAGATTATTAATTGGTATCTTTGATAATTAATTTGTATCTTTTAAATATGTAACTGTACCTTTTTATATATGTATTGCGTCTTTTAAATATGTATTCCATCTTTTAAATATGTATTGTCACCTTTTCGCAGTTTGTAAACTTTTAGAGCGATTGTTTATGTCAACTTGTGAAATTTGTATATGTACATGAACTCGCAATTCAGCTCATAAGCTGCGATGAGTTTGTTTTCGCACAATAAAAAAAATAAAACATTCTAACTGACGTGTCGGCTTTCAAGAGAAAGTGTCGGTCGTCCATGCGCAACAGGTTCAACCAACATTTCAGTGTGGACATTCCGTGCTCTTGGGTGCTGTCGTGTGGCTGCCGCGCTAAGAGGCCCCGTTAAGTTTAGATTTTTTGCCTTTTTGCCTTCGCCAAGAAGGTTATGTTTTCAGGGGCGTTCGTGTATGTGTGTGTGTGTGTGTCTGTCTGTCTGTCTGTCTGTCTGTAAACACGATAACTTGAGAAGGCCTTGATGGATTGTCTTGATACTTGGTAGGTGGGTAGGTCTTGATGAGACCTCAAAATGATTAGATTTTGGACCCCCTAGCGGCTTGTTATGGTACTGCAGCTGAACTTCCGGTTTTGATATCTCATGATCTAGACATGCTACGGTGATGAAATTTAGATGGTAGGTAGCTCTTGTGCTGGGAAAGAAGTGACGTGAGTTTAGGCCCCCTAGCGGCTTGCTCTGGAACTGCAGGGATAAATTCTTGAAAATATTCAAAAGGGGATAACTCAAGAACCGGTTGACGGATCGTCGTGATTTTTGGTATGTAGGTAGCTTACATGATGCTTAATATAATTATGTGACTATTATGCAAATATGGATGTAATTTGCATAATTTATGGGGAAATTCTATAAATCAGCTGCATTCCATGATAGGACAATTGAAGCTTGTGACATTGGTAATTGACAACGAGAGAAACACAGGAAGATGTTGATTATGCTAATAATGACTTAATTTGCATAATTAATGAGAAAATTTTACAATTATGTATTATGTATACAATTACAGAAATGCTAGAATGCATTCTTTGTTAATATAAGACTGTCTTTTGGTTGAGATTATGATAAAATGATATAATTCATGAAAATTAGGTTCCTATTTCTTAAATCAGGGGAGAATAATCTAATCTAAACTTTGTCAGTTATAAAGATTAACATCATTTGGCGAAGGTATGAGATCGGGGAACTCTAGTTTATCATATTTTTTCATCATTTTGTCTATACAGTATCACTGTTTTGTATTTTTCATGCACATTGTCACTGTCTATCTATTTGTGGGCATGGTGGCCTTGAAAAGGTGCACCTGTTCCACCATGCCCTCCATGTACATATGCATGTGGTTAATTGTAATAAATAAATAAATAAATAAATAAAAAAAATATGTCAGAAGGCACACACAAATGTCAGAGCTGCACATGGACTATCTTTTGGTAGTCCATGGCCTAAACATTCTTCGAATTTCAGATTCAATTTATACACTGAGTCTTGGGCCTGTACAATGATATGATACCAGAAGAAGAGTAATTTACCAAACATACCAATGATTATTAGTTGCTCCTATGTCCGTCACATGAAACCTTTTTAAGAAGGTGCTGTTCAAAGGAAAATACAACAT